GGCTCTTGATTCCAGAGTTGCATAATTCGTTCCAACGAAAAGCCAGACTCATTCAGTCGAACTTGAGAAGGTGTGAGCCACAATAAACCCTTCCGGGTAGCGAATAATGATCGAATAGGCTTAACTTCTGTATCTGTCGTATCTCCCAAGGAGTTGTCCTCCTAGGTCAACCTCCATCCTGTATTTTCCAGGAAGGTGGACAGATCACTAGGAAACATCTCCTTTATATCGGCAGGTGTGAGCCAAGACTCGCCGAGCACACACTCTCTTATTGACGATAACTCCGTACGTTCGCATAAAACATGCCTGACAGTTTCACCTTCCAGTTCACACATCCTGCATAGAGATGTGTTTACTGGCCTCATAATATGGAGGTGTTTCCTTAGTTGACAGTGGCCAGTCAGAAATCCTACTGCGTAGATTTTTCCTGGTCATCGCCAGATATTTCTTCGGCACCAGCTTCCCAGGTTCGCCCAGAGGATCCTGGAAAGACTGCTTCCTTTGATTTCATCCCATCTCTTTAGGGATTGAGCATGGGTGTAACGTTTGGCTAGTTCCGCAATTGTCGAAGTCATGCCGTAGGTGTCAACTGGGTGCTAGAATTCTTAGTCCAGCCGCTTCTTTGGTTAAAGAGTTGGCAATGCGATTACCTTTACTCCCGTCGTGCCCTTTAACCCACCTCAGGATAATGTTACTATCTACCGAGGCTTTGGCTAAATCTTGGTGGCACTCTAGTACTAGCCCTGAAGTAACACGTTGTCTATTCAAGGCTAAGGCTTATCTACTATCAGTGTAGATTGTTATGTTTTTGCCAATAGGCTTACCCTATTATGGCCCTGTCATAAATAACTAGTGAGAGGGTAAAATAGCCGTTATCAAATATGCCAGAAAAATACGTGCGGTATCGTGCGGTGTTCAAGTTTTAGCAGTTTGAGAGATATTTAGTTTAACTCACGAACCGGTAACGTTTTCAATCTCCATGGACACCCAGTATGACGATTAACCTCAATTCTGTTTACATTTTCCGCAATGCGGTTCTGTAGCTAAATGCTATTTTCTAAAAGTGAATAAACTCAATAAAATTCAAGTTATGGGGTTTTCGCAACTCGGAAATGAAATTCAAACGACAAAATAAACATTTTATCGGCCAGAAAACATCTGTTCGCAGATTATAAATACCGAAGGAAAATGCTCAGGAGCTAATTTATTCGAAAGTGTTTTTAGATGAATCTGTCTTGGTTTCTTGGAACTTGGCAAAGAATCAAAGGAGAAGGCTTTCTAACTAAAAGTTAAACCAATTAGTCGACGTCAAAATTTCACTAGCCCAGTCAGATTTTTAAATAGATGACGATATACTTGATGAGGCTTTGATTATGCAATAACAGTTTTGATAAATCCGCCGATCTATTTCATATTCATCTTCATTCCCATATATCTTGTATCTTGAAAGTTGAGAGTTGGTACTTCCATATACAGACTGTCTCAAAAGTAATGAAGAAATTCTTTGGTTGAATTAACATTCTCAAGGAATCCAACTTGAGGAAGACAAATCTCGAATGTCTCTAACGATAGATTGGATACAACAAAAGAGATATATTTATCGAAATATATTCAAATAAAAAATAGAGAAAACATCAAAATATGATATGTACCACTCTTGGTGGAATCAAATGTGCCAAGTCACTTGAACACTTCCCGTGGAAGTATTTTAAGAAGACAAATCTCAAATGTCTCTAACGATAGATTGGATACAACAAAAGAGATATATTTATCGAAATATATTCAAATAAAAAATAGAGAAAACATCAAAATGTGATATGTACCACTCTTGGTGGAATCAAATGTGCCAAGTCACTTGAACACTTCCCGTGAAAGTATTTATAGAAGAGGGACAAATCTCCAAGCTTCCTTTAATGTTCCAGACTATCAAGGTTACAAGTGATGTTCGCGTCTCCAATCAGGCGGATGGCTCTTTTCTGGATGGAATCCAGCAGTTTCAGGGTATGTTTGGAGGCGGAGCTCCATACATGAGAACAATTCTCCAAAGAAGATCTGATCTAAACTTTATAAATCATCAAATGTTGCGGATTTTCATTTCATAAACTTTTTTCCTTGCACCATCACACCCGCGAAATATATCTTGCCCATATTAAAGTTAGATCCTTCGCCGCTACTGCCCTCGTTTACCATTCCATCGAATAGGTATTGTCAAAGTAAACGTGCACAATGTGGAGGGACACCATCTTGATGGAACTACATTCTAAATGTGCATCAGGCTGTTCTGCATCAGAAAACAGTACTAAATTAGGAAAAAGCCCAAAATCTGGTTTTCATCCAATGAACTATCGAAGAAGTACAGTCCAATAATTCGGGAATAAGTCACATTGAACTTCTGGGGATATTTAGTGTTGGCTACCACATCTTTATTACGGATTTCGAACCCCCAACTCACTAAAATTATATCACTGGTGATCGAATTCAAACAATGAGTAACGATATAGTTCAAGTTAAAATTGCTCTCCTCATGTACTTGTTTCAAGTCCTTTGTACGGGTAAAATTGTGGTTGTGAGAAAATGTTCAACAAGGTTTTCAAACTGTACCCCTTTGGCATATCGTTGATTACGATATTGGATGACGGATGGGTCGTTTCCTTGAACGAAATACTATTATATCGCAGACCCATCAAATGAACCGCCACTGACTTCGCACGGTCATCAAGGCAAAGTTTAAAGCATTCTCCAACGACCAAGAAGCGGTCAGAGATTTTTCCACGACCTTATTGAATCAATACTTCGATTCTTTAACTTTCATTACCTCCTATTTTAGGTATTTAGTTTTTAGCATCTAATTAATTATGTTTACGAAGTTTCAAGAACATCAAATTTTCAATTGTACATCTCTTCGGAGAAAATTTGATGAATTGCTAATTTCAGGTGTATGTATATTGTGTCGTAGAATTTCAATAATTCCAAATTTCCGTATGAGACTCATTCCATTATCTCTAATGAACCGATATTGCTAATAGCTCTTTCCACAATATGCCACAGAGATATGACAGTCAAATATATTATTGTAATAACTAACGATATCACCACACGGTATTCGTGAATGTGCAGTAATTTCAATTATTTTAACGAACAACGTAATATGAGCCAAATCTAAAAATATATTGGTAAATATTTTTGTTTCCTAATTCTACCAAACTAGCAGGGTATATTATTCGTAAAATATATGAGACACAAGTGATTAAAATCGTAATAATGTATGTAAATTTCATGCAGAATCTGAATGGAAAATCCCCTTTAAAGAAAATGATGACTTAAGGTCATCCGATGTGCCCATAAATACAACCGAGGTCAACCATATTTTTATCCAAACCACAGGATTCATCATTTCTCTTCACGGTTATAGAAAAGTAAAATCAATCGAATTTGATCATCCCTAGCTAGTTTGATCTTCACGAAAGAGAAGATTGAAACCTGTATAAGGAAAGACCAACTCTCAACATCAACGATAGCATTTTCCATGCCATTGAGAACGTTTTGAAACCTGGATCCTCATTTTTTGACCCTTCTTCCCAGAGTACTTGATGACCAAACCCCTCACTTCATCCGCCTACTAACTCCAACAACTGAAGATGGCTTACGACTGTGATATTTTAATGCTATACTCTTGTCAGATCAAGATAGTTATCATAGATACATAGAAAAATAGGTCTTGGATTTTAGTATCTCATACCATCTGAATAATGACAAATATGCACGTATATTGCGGAGGAAGAATACCATGTAGATGCAGTAAAAAACTTTCTTCGTGGTGAGTTACAATACTACCATTGACAGATCTAGCCAGTAGAGATTTTATTGATCGGAATCAATTCATACTCTTTCGGATGTGATCAGTGGAGGACACTCATATATACTTTCTATGCTGATCTTATTAGGATCGTATGGAGTTGAGGAATGGGCTCACAAATAGACACTTCAAATAATTTGTAATAAAGCTTAGAAGTTATTCTCATGAGGAAAAAATATTGCAATTGAATTACCTTAAAAGTTATTATGCTTTCAATTTTGCCAGAATTTGGAAGATATATTTTTTGACTTTCTGTGTATTTTATTTATCGAAATTTTTGCATTTTGTTGTTATTGTTCATATTGCAATTAGACACATCGAACAACAAACAATGGAGACTGTATATGCTCCTGATATTAACTTTTTTTGGTGGAAAAGTTTTGAAAACAAAGTGCGATTTTTCCATTAACACTATACAAAATTATCAAACTACCTCAAAGTCTCATCTAGAAATATTCAAGAATATTTTCATCAGAAAACTTCATCTCTGGCGATATTGATAACTCATGTATAATGAAATGTTTTTTTAGAATTATATACGAACATAGTTACTATATCCCACCATCTTATTTTAGGAGAAACCTAAAAATAGATCATTTGATTCCAGTGATAGACTCGTACAATTATTTAATTCATGGTTATGTGGCAGGAAACAGTATGTCCAAAACAACGGCTACAGATTAACAGAATACCTATGAGCTACTTTCAGGTATGCCCCAAGGTTTAAACCTAGGACTATTTATTTTTCAAAATTCAAAAATAGTAGGATATCTTGATTTTTCAGTTGATAAATTCATCTGTAGGTAGGTACCATCTAATTTTCTATTTGCCTCCACAAAAATAATACTATGAAGAAAAGTTGAATAGCAAAGTTGTAGGTTATAAAATGATAATTTCAAAACTTATCGATACATACGAGAATATTAAATTAGTTATACAGTTTCAGTTGTTCAATCATTAATAAAAATGATTGTAGCCCCATAAACGAGCTTGTTTGTTGAGGAAATTGTTGCAGTTTAATTTCAGTTTCGAAATCGTAGGACTGCACAAATTGCACAATTTTTTAATGAGTTTATGAAACTCTATAACTTATTAACGAGCGGTTTCACTGAAATGGAAAAGCAAACTAATACTTGTATAATACCTCTTTAAATTTCATTTCAGCCTTACTCACGAATTCTTATTTCGCTCGAGACGGTACGATGGCCCAATCCTTAATCTCCGCCAGCTATAAATCCACTGGAAGAACAATGAGATTTAAACGTTTATGTATTAGAAAATATGCGTTCAGACTGAAACCGAGGGCGGTGCAGAACAATGATTTATTCTGTTTCGTCTACGTTTTGTGTATTCACTAAAATTCGAGCGACCTATTCAGACCGGGTGTCTGCCATCACTGGCGGTCTATTTTAGTTGAGGTCTACGCCTCGTTAAATGTGTCGTATGTTTTCATTTTCGACTGCATTTCCGTAGAGACTATGCCTCACCTAATTATCTTTTAGAGAGTGTTTCACAAGCACCATGTGGATAGGACGAATGTGGAGGCAAGTATGTGTCTCACGTTTCAAAAGTTTCCATGGTACCTTCATAAGGTGAATGCATCAATGAAACATAATATATGTCAATGAAATAACAAATTTCAAATAGACTGCAACTACCTTTCAAAAAAATATCACCAAATAATTTCAGGCAACGAGAGAAAAAGGGAAATGAAAAATAATTATTTCGACAACCTAAAATATTTCTCCAGCAGCCGGACATCGCTGACATTAATCAAGTGATCATCTGCAGATCAGTTTCGGTGAATCACTTCTCGTCAGTAATAGTTTCATTTCGCTAACAAAGTCCCAAGAAAGAAGAACGGGGTTCCGCAAGGAAGTATTTTAGGGCCATTGCTATTCTTAATTCACCTTGATGATATTAGTAAATGTAATGAATGTGATTATGAACATTATTTTGCTGATGATGCCCTAGTATCGGTTAGTAAGAGAGATATAGATAAAGCTATTCAAAGAATGAATGAAGCATTGAATAATATTGCTACATATTCAAAAACAAATAAATTGAAGCTGAATGTCAACAAAACAAAGGAAATGATACTTACTACACCGTTTAAGTACAGATAATTAGATTCAAATCAAATTGAAATAAAAATAGAAAATGACAAAATTGAGCTCATTACTGAATTCAAATATCTAGGATCCATGTTGGACAAGCATCTATCAATGAATAACCGTTTCACTTACATATAGAAAAAAAAATTGAAGAAATTATATTTATTCACAAGAGTGTCCCAACACTAAACTATGCAATCACGGATAACTGTATATAAGACCATTACACAACCACATTTCGAATATTATACCACTCTTCCATAAACAGATGATTTAAATAAAATGGAAACACTTCAAAAACTACAGAATCGCGCAATGAAGATTATTTTGACATGTGACAGGAGTACTCATATATCTTTATTGTTAACTACTCTGAATGGTTATCTATAGAAAGTAGGATTACAAATTTAACGATGATTTATATTTACAAAATGTTGCATAATCTTCATATTTTGACAAATTTGTAATTTTTCATAATCAAATCCATATGCTAATGGGGAAACTACGGCTCTGTACACCAGCGAAGGAGTTACTACTTAATTCCAAATGACACTGGAGGAAATCGTAAAAAATAATAAAATATTGAATATCATACTTGTGATATTTTCTCGACGAGTTTTTTTTCGACGTCATGATTTGGGTCACTCTGTATGAAACAAATTTGCTCCATTCCAAAGTGTACATACATTCTGTGGCATCATGGAAAAATGGTACGCGAACATACGAGTCAATATACAAATGGACCGGATTTCACCAGAGTGAACTATATAAAAAACACCTCAAATTTGAGTCCCTGTAAATGGACGGGCCCATTTTGAACCAATTTCTTGAACATGTGTACACCAACATTCTTTTTCTATCATATATCAGAATACGAGTTATTAAAAAAATACGAAATATTTGATAACTACCTATTCCAACGTTTCGAAAACCAAAAAAATACTAAAAATTGATTATTTTCAAGTTCAACTATTAATTTCACTTCCCTATATAATTTCTCTACTGCAATTTCATGAAATTTTTTGGACTGTTTAATGTGACTGTTGATGTGTTTAATGCGACTCTATTCATTTGTTAATGATATCATCACTGAATAAGATGAAAACAAGACCCAGAAAAATAAATATCCATCGCCCTGTATATATAAATGGTGGTGAATAAAACTTGTTGCACTCCTATGAAAAACTATATATTTACTATCGTCAATTTGTTTTGCTTCTTCGATAATCAACTCATAGAATAAATACCAATACCACCAAGTTGAATAGACCGTTGTAATGTTTACATTTTCAAAATAAACCTTTGACGGATTTGTATAAACAATTATGTTTACATATTTATAGTGTGTTAAACAAAGTTGACATCACACTTATAGTCACTGTGTGGCATTCAAAAAAACAGTATAACTGGGAGATACAATGTATCAACAAATAAAAACTCAATAACAGTTATTCGTAGGTGTGTTACTTGCAATACTCCAATACAGTATATAGTTTTACAAATAATGGTAATCTTAAAATCACAATTAGGCTAGCCGCAAACTAAACGTTTTAACCTCGGTTATTGAAAAAGCTATCAGTTTAATGTGTGGTCTCTCCAGTAAAATGGATCGTTTTAAAATTTGTTATTTTCCGCAACTGAATGATTAGGCAAATCATTCAAGATAAAATACCTATGGCGATACTGTATAATTTTGCTAAACAGCACCCAATTGTACCAAAATTCATTGTATCATCAATTTCAAAGTTGATACAGTTTTTTTCTGAAAGTCAATAATTTTCGACTCATTCGCGAGTGAAATTGTCAATTTTTAATAATAATAAAATAATAAGGCTTGTATTATTCGTCAAACGCCAAAATTGAAACTTTTGTCGTGAAGTAATAAAAAAAACAAGTATTTTCGACGGACTCATTAAACCTTTTCTGAAATCCCTCGTTTTTATTTGCAAAAAATGTTTTTATGGAAAATAGAATGATGTGTGTAGCATGAATATACATTAACAAGTGCATACTATTTTTCAAGAAATATTTATAAGATTATCATCGAAACTATGAACTTCAAACGTGCTCAACGAAACATGGTGGTAAGATAAGGATGAAAAAACATTTTCATTCAATAATCTTCCATGAACAATCGTGAAAAAAAAGAAATTTTCAAATCCAAACTTGAAGGAAATTTTGGATAACGGTTGCTTTTACAGAACGGCGGTATATTTGATTCAGCGAGAGGACTGATGATTTTATTTATATCTCTGTTTGTGAAGTGTTATATTTATATTTATGTGACGTATTCTATATCATTTTTATGATCTCAAAGAATTCAATAAATATTATACAAACATGTGCAGGATTCCAAATTCGGCAATAGATGACGTACTGCCTATAAAGTTCCAATTCATGTACTACTTATCAATCTTGACTAGAAATTTATAAGAAAAGTATTTCTTTATTTGTTTATAAAACTCAGTAATATTGCCTACATACCGAGATAAATATTTTTTAAATATTTTCCACACACTGTAACGCTCAGCGTCATAAGAGTTCACCTTAAACGTTCAACTCCTCGTAATGTCGCCATTTTGTAGTCAAACTGGCGACCCCGCCATCTTACGGTTTAAACGGCGATCCTGTCATTTTTGTTATATCAGGGTCAGTCTCGATATGTCTGGCTTTGTCTAAGGTTATGCTTAACATACTCCCGTTTTCGCAGCGATGCGTAAACGAGATCATGAAATTGCTGATGACTGTAAATGTAATCGTTCTTAAGGTTTTAATGTTTTGACGATCAGAGAACAATAATAATAAAACAATTTAATAGTCTTGCTAACAGGTATTTAAGCGGACATAAAACCGTATCTAATGTACAACGCTATCTGCGAGTAGATGAACTTCCTCATGCTAAAAATATTGAAGAGTGAAGAAGTTAATCAAAACACTCATTTGAAGAGTTGATTAGTTTATAATGAACAAAGAATACTTGTTTTCCAGATTTTTCAGCTCGAATGAAGAATTTTATTCTCTTTACTGGATAAGGAAATACTTTGACTTCAAAATTATGTTTGTCTATACCAGCCTGAGAATTTTTCAATATATCTGCGAATATAACAAATCTTTACCGAACTTACGAATATTATAATAACCCAAAATAAGCTAGGTATCGATTTGCAATAATCAAATTCAACAAAATAACTTCTTCCAACATCATCACATTATCAATGTGATGATGTTGGATCATCAATGATACTACTTTCCATTATCTTTTACGAGTTCAATTCATATTTATAACCGTACAAAGAAAGCGCTTCGGAAAGATGCAACTAATGTTGAATCCTCGGCAAAGTGAAGGATTCGAAGAAATCTAATTTTATATATTACGACCTTTTAGAGACAACATAAAGCGAATGACTGATGAAAGTCGTTTCTCTACTGGGAATGACCTCTCAGTGACTGCTATCAGGTCCAGTTTTCACTTTTTTTATACACAAACCGTTTCTCGAGAAGTAGAAACTTAATCACTGCTTGTTTTTTTCTGTAAACAGTTATTATAAATCAATTGAGGAGAATCAACAATGGTGTTACGCAAAATGCATCATACCATAGAAATAATTTGTGATATAACAGCAGTCTGATGAAAATCATGTTTCTCAACAACAGAAACACAACATTTTCAACATTAGTGGCATCTTTTCGAATCAAATGTATGTATATGTCGGTATCACAAGATATTTATAATGAATTTTTGATAGTATTCTGCCCTACCTAAACTGTATCCATCAAACAAAGAAAGTAACCCAAACAATGATATATGCGTGATCAAAGCGTGACCACCATGCACATTTGCATTTATTGGGTAAAAAAACAAGCCACCCTACGCTGGCCAATCATATTCAACTGCAATTAGCTGACGGAATTCATTGTTAACGTGTCGGAGTGGTCAGTTACGTTTTACGTCTCTGGTATGTACATATACGCTATTTTGAAGTTTAAAATTTGTAAAATGTCAAGCTTTGATACGGCTGAAAAAACTGCTAAAGTAGAAAAAAGTTTAAAGTTTGATCAC